TTGGAATACTGAGCATTTTTCATAGCTTCTAATTTACTTTGGTGGGACTGGAAAACACAATCGCATGCTAACATCCATATAAAATGTGCTCATCTTTTATTTGTTGCTTCTCAATATTCTCTCCTGACTTCTCTCACTCCAGCTGCTATTTAAAGGTTGCTGTTCTTCTAACTCTGCTCCTGCTTCTGGTCTCTTGGTTGTAAGCATATGCTCCTGGCTTATCCGCACCCAGAGTTTCAAAACACCATCTTTATGCTGATTCCTCTCAAATCTAAATCTGCATGAAAATTTCAAATTTTAACACTTGCTTAAGATTATAAAGCCTAGAAAAGAAAGAATTCTTAAAGGAGGGTTGATTAACCATAGAATATGGTTTTCTGTTGCAAAAAGTGTATGTGTATTTTGGTACCCTTATCATTCTGGCACAACAACATGCAATAACTTTTCCTCATTGATTTTTTTAGTTTTCCAAACACTGTGTGATACTTTTATTGTAATTTGTTTTTAGGAGTAAAGAGACTTGAGTTTAGATTCATTAATGTTGACAGCAATAGAGTGTCACTGATATTTTCCCCTGAAACAATGATATTTAACATAAACAGATTTGAAAAGTTCAAATTAAGTATATAACATGAAATATCATTTTTTTCTAGAGCTAACTTTAAGCTGTGTATAGTAAAATTGGCAATTAAAAACTTAGAGTTTATTTTTCAGATTTCATATGCAGTTAATCTATGGCTTTCTATGCTGCAATTTTTATCAGGATAAAAGTATCATGTTCACTTGGACCATTACACAAGTTCATAATCTGTAATTCAATAATCTCTACACATTCCTTTTCATGTTTGATAATCAACATGACACAAAGTGATACTATCATGTGCAATTTTGAATTAATAATTTACTTAATAACCAGTACAAAGACATATTCACTGTATTTAATTTTCAGACCAGCTAATAATCAAATTTAGTTTCAAATATTTGGTGTCAAAGAAATAGTCTATTGTCAGGTAATAGATCCTGTGGTTCTTGCTTGGGGAAGAACCCAAGCATGTGCAGTGACTATATACATGGAACCTGGTATTCTGTCCCATTTCCTTTTTAATGTCAAACCAAGTATCAGAAATTTTGTTTCAGAAAATGTGATCATCAAACATCTGATTTTTGACTGTTCACCTTAGATACAGCGGCCACTTTGTGGTAGGACAAGGTGAGGAAAGAGTTGTGAATTTTGTCAGCATTCTCTCTTCAACTGTCATAGTCCTTCTATCTGAAGGGGAATCATATGGAAATCTGGGGGAGTCTTTTCTTCTCCCAAAGAGCCATGAACAAAAAGTAGTTCATTAAATATTCTCTTCAACAATAATACATTTTATTGATACAAATTGGGGAGGCCATCCCTAGTAGAGAGGCCTGACAACCAACTCTGACAAAAAAAGTATCTTTAAGATCATGCACAGTGAAGAGTTAACATAGGAGGCTGGAAACTGCTATCTTTAGAAAGGCCTACTTGCAAGGTTTTGCCCTTGGGCAGCATCTGGGAATGTGACTTCTCTCCAGTCCCCAGCTGATAAGAGTCATTCACTGTGTCTACCCTCCTATTGTGTATCTTTTTATCATAATAAATCTTAGCTGTGAACACGAACATCACTATATCCCAAGTCCGAAGAGTGCTTCTTGTGAATCACCAAACTTGTGCAGGGTTTTGAGGACCTTCTAAAACAGAATATAAATTCTAAATTCAAGCAGATAGTTCTTGAAATTTAATTGTCTTATATTCAAATATTTTTGTTCATAAGACAACTTATTAGTTACCTTGAGGTACATTTGAAAAAATTTTTTATATTATGGAAAATCATATTAATGGCGGAAAATCTCTGGAGGAAACCATTCTTAAAATTTTTTGCAATTTTTTTCTCAGTGCTTCTCAATGCACATTTTTTTTTACAGTTAAGTCTTTATATATTTTGTATCCTATTCTTTTTGATTTATCATTATATAGAAAATCTCTGGAGAAAACCATTCTTAAAATTTTTTGCAATTTTTTTCTCAGTGCTTCTCAATGCACATTTTTTTTACAGTTAAGTCTTTATATATTTTGTATCCTATTCTTTTTGATTTATCATTATATAATAAGTATAAGCTAAGTTATAAGCATATGCTGAGTTTAAAACAACTTACAAAAGCAAAAACAGGGAACTGGAATACCAAGAGTCTGTAAATTATATTAATGTATGAAAATAATTATATGTCAAATATTAAGAAAATAAAGATAAATATTGCATATAGCTAAGGAAATTACATTATAGAATTATAGCTAACTTAATAATATACTGTATGCAGATTATTTCCTCGATCTTCAAAATAAACTTGTGAGGTGAGTGTGTTACTCTTGTTTTATGAATGAAGAAAGTAAGGATTAGAAAAATAAATGACTTATTCCATGCAAATATGTTGCCAGGCAGGACTAGAACCCTGGTTTCCGGATTTCAAAGTCTGTTTATTAGTCATCATAACTGCCTCTATGTAGAGTCACAAAATTTAGAATTGTTTTTAAAGCAGTATAAAATAATTTATATTTGCTAAGCTTTTATTTTTATTTTTAAATGCTCAAATTCACAGCAATGCTAAGTTTTAAAAGTGGCATTTGATACACTACCAAATGTTTTATTGAATGTAATCTTTCTCAGGAGTAAAGGATAATTATGAATAAAAGAGGTTTATTAAGGAGGGCTAAATTGGTACATATTGGGGAAATGGTTGAAATATAAAGTCAATGGTCTCTCCAGCAGGAGGCGCACGTGCTCAGCAGTGGCGCTGCTGACATTCCGTTAAGGCAGGACTCAGCTACTCTGGAAGGGCAAGCAGCCAAACTCTCTCTGCAGGGAGAAGTCTGCCAATTGCTATACAAACAAACCTTCGAAGATGAAATGCAAACCTCTTGGTGTCAATTAGAATATTGTTTAGAAACAAATTAAATATTTAGCAATCGAACCGGAATAGCTTACCGGCAATGGCCGACAAGGAATCAGAATTAGCATAACTGAATGTAGAACTGGCTCAAAAGGAAGTGAGAGGGATGAGTGCTCTGAATTTTGCCCTTCTTCAACATCAAAGGAAGATCCTGTTAATAACTGATGGTGACTTTCAATTACTACCCACTGGCCATATCACAACTGATATCACAAGCCAAACTGAAAAGTAGCACCTTGCTTCCTCATTATCAGTGCAGAAATAAGTCAGGACTTGCCTCTGCAAGAAAGGAAACTTCCTAGGATTATCAGCTCTGGCCATATAGAATATTAAGATATGGCCAGACTCTGAAAAACAAACAGAAGGAAGGGAAAGGCGTGTGAACATACTCTACAGTCTCTTCAAATATAGTGGCTGAGGATTGAGCCTTGAGTCCCGCAGACAGGAGTCAGGCTTGGGAATTTACTAGTTGCATGAATTTAGGCTGGATACTTAATTAATCTGTCTGAGAATTAGTTGTTTACTCATCTTCAAAATAAGAATAAGGGCTGGCCAGTTGGCTCAGTTGGTTAGAGCACAACCTTCTAACACCAAGGTCAAGGGTTCAGATCCCCATACTGGCCAGCCACCAAAAAAAAAAGAATAGTAGTACTTGCCTCCTAGGTATCGTTAAATGAAGTAAATTGTATAATTTATACAGTGTTTGAGACATGGTAAATGTTAATTAATAGTATCCTATATCATATTATTATAGTATTAGTACTATCAGGCTTCACAGTAAGTTATCAGTTATTAAAATTAAGATTAAAATTTAAATCTATGTTTATATGGCTTTTCTTTCTACAAACCACTTATTTTGCAAATGATAGTAGTTATGATCTGAATAATATGATCGTGCAGTTCATAAGAGAATGATAAATTATCTTCTGGCTTTAGTTTGCTTTTATTTTTTTAAAGGAGAAATTAGCCTGAGTCCACTAGTTTTATCACCTTGCGTAGACTTTACCTGCTCAGCTGTTCAGTGAACACCATCAGTTTTATGGCCTGTGGAAGCAGTGATGGCTTAATGGGTGTGCAAATCTATGCACCCACTTCAAAGGGCTCCACACCTTATGTTGCTCATCCTGCAGAAAGTGAATATCTACCTTGCACGTAGAATTAGGCCATATATCTTTATGGCCCTAACATCATTATTGGTATCTTTACTAAGATAAAATAAATAACATTTAATTAATTATTAATTTTGGTAGATAGATCTGTAAAAAATTCTACTCAAAGTAAGTAAAGAAACAGGAAGCAATTTTATGAAGGCTTCATTGGAATGAAGAGAATCAGAACTGAGCTATTTCTTATTATTAGCCCATTTTGCCCAATAATCATCAATCACTATAAGCATCTAAATTTAATTTTTATAAGGTCCGAACATGCATTCTTTATACTATCAAAGTTTATAAGTTCTTATGTTCTATAAAATTTTTTACTTCAATTAATTTTGAGGCTATTTAAATTTTACACTTACTGTACAGATCCAGATATTTTTTGGTGCAAGAAAAGAAAAATGACATAGCTTGCCTGGTGTGTGATCACACATACCATAGAGCTTAACTGAAGCTCATGTTGCAGTGTTCCCATGAATATCAAGGACTTAAATAGCATGGAAAACAATAACTCATTAGTTTTCCTAAAGTTGATATTATAAGAACATCTTGTATTGAGATATTTCTCTGAGAAATATATAGGTCTAAATAGTTCTGTGTTCCCACAGGGGTAAGATTAGTCCTCCTAGGTGAGATTAAATTGGGGAAATCATAAATAAATATACTAATTTAAATAGTTGAGAGAATTCGAGTCTCTATTATTCTGTGATTTTTTAATATAATCAAAACATTTAGAGACTAAATATGAGTCATGTTAAAGTATTGATGACCCTTTTGTAAATGAAAAAGCAATAAAATACAAAATTCATTCAAACGGGCATATAATTTAACAACAACTCCTAAGAGGAAAACACAGCCTTTTTTTTCTTTGTTTTTTTGGTAAGAATCAGTAGCTATTTTTGTTATGAAAATATTATTTAATATTACTCATATGCCAGACATATTCACAAAACTTCCTTACAGAGACGTTACTGAGCAGTTTATATGCACCATACTGAATTCCTCTCTCCTCCCAGATTTATGCTCCTCCTCTTGGTGTTTATATCTGTTAAACCTCTTCTTTCTCAAATTCAAAACCTCAGATTAGTCTAGGTCTCTCTCTTCCCCAAGTGCCATGCATTCAGGCTGTGAATAGCTCATGGTTTCTTACAATGATCCAGTCTGCAACATATTTCTACTAATGACCTCAACAAATCACCTACTGGAATCTCATCACTTAAAAGGAAGAAACTGAGACCCAGCCAGGTGAACTTTTTGTCTTCAGCTACTAACTAATACCTAGACTTCCTAAGACAAGTAGCACCAGAAGCAAGACTTGATGTTCTTCAGGTCTTTAGTCTTCCCATCGTCTCTGTTTCTGTTGATTACACCTTCACAACATTTCTCACATCTGTCTCCTCTGTTTCAATAACCCCTTCCTTAGATCTTACTCTTATTGCTCTTGCCAATATTTATTCAATAATGTCCTAACGGGTACCTAATTTCATCCTCTGCCATCATGCTACACCCTACTCCTAGCTTCATGCCTCTGAGCCACAGTTGTTACCACACCCAGCCCACCGCTCCAAATTTTCATAGACATCCCATTCTTTACCAAATTGTGTCTAAGTGCCTTAGCTTGGCAGTCATGGTCTTCTGTGATCTACCCAAATCTAAATCCTGAACATTCACTGTCAAACAGTCATTCGACAGATATTTATTGATTTCCTATTGCACCCCAGACATTGTGCTCATATGCCAAAATGAATAATTCTGGTCATATTTATCAAGGATTTGGCAGTCATGGTCTTCTGTGATCTACCCAAATCTAAATCCTGAACATTCACTGTCAAACAGTCATTCGACAGATATTTATTGATTTCCTGTTGCACCCCAGACATTGTGCTCATATGCCAAAATGAATAATTCTGGTCATATTTATCAAGGATCTCGTTATGTATTAATAGCTTTCTTTAATTACTTATGCAAAGAAAATTGTTCCGTAGGAGCAAATTTGATTGTTTTATAGAAGCCTGACCAGAAAAAGTTTAAAAACATGTACATAAATATTTACACTAAAAGTGCTTGTTTTGTACTGATGCCTAAATGAAATAGGATAGAATCAGATTCAAAGAATGTGTCTTTGTATTAATTGACCATCTACGTAAGTTAAAGTAAACACCTTTTATATTTTATGGTCATGCTAAACTGTACAGATCTAAGTATCATTTAAGTCAAAGCAGAGGTTAAATGTTATTTTACAGTAATAGCTTACCAGGATATATAATGTTGTCCGTGTTTCTCTGAGCCCGGCCTATCAGGACAGTGGTAAGATTGACTGTTGGTTTCTTAAGTGTACCAGGTTTCTTCAGCAATGATTTAACTTGCTTCTGAGACTTGATCACATTTCCCAGACTGCCAGACAAAGATTGATCTATATACCAAGTTAAATTAGACATGGCAGCTTGAGTTTTTATTTCAATTATTGATTCCACGAATTCAGTCAGACCTTTCTGAAGAAGCTGCATATCTGGCAGGGAACCTTTTATCCACTTAGGTATGGTAGCATTCAGTTCAGATATACTCATAGATGCATCATGACACACTGTTAAAACTTCATAGAGAGTGGTGTTAAGCAAAGAGAAGTTAATTGAAAGATAGATGGATTTTGCTTCCAGTGCCTTAAATCTGGAATTTAACACCTGCAGTTGAAGAGCCTGGTTTCTGTCATTTGTGGTTCCACTGCCTTTTTTAATTGAAATATAAAATGGTATCAGCATCTGGGTCACTTTAGATTCAATGCCTTGCAAGCGAGTTTCAAAATTTCTGGCAATTTTAGTTGCTGCAAGTATTTTTTCTTCCAGATGACTCATATTTTGCTGGTATTTTATCACTTGGGAAGTGGTTTTATCGAACATTTCATAAATCTTTTGAAAGTTGGACTGATTTAGTTTCTCATCTTTAGGAATATTTGCAAGGGCCTTGGCAACTTGCAAAACAAAGTTGTATCTCTGATTATCATTGTCCAACATCTCAATAGAATCATTCAAATGTTGGAATTGAGAAATAAATGCCAAAATAGTTTCCATATTTTGGGTACATTTATGATGGACCTCGGGATTATACTTAACAGTACTCAAAGTCTCTTTTAGCACATAGTTATCTTGAATGAAGTCAATGGCATTGTTCATAATAATCATTGTCTTATTTAGGCCGTCTTCCATTTCTAAGACATATTCATTAATATGTCTTTCTAAGGCATCACCACGACTCTGTACTTCATTTCTAAGTAAGTTGTACCTTTTTGTAAGTTCTTTGATGAGAAAATTTAGACTATTGACAGCAGTGGTCAGACTTTCCACCTTTTTCCTTATCACTACTGCTTCCTTTGGTTGTTGAGACGTCATTGTCTGTCTAAGTGATGCTCCCTGCTCAAGCAAAGGTTGGAGGATCTCCATATCATAAGTCAAATCATTTAGTTGCTCACTCATTTTATCCATCTTATCGTCCATTGGAAAGAGAAACTCAGCCAATGTTTGGTTTAACACATGTACGTTCTCCTCTGTGTCCTTAAGTTGAAATTTAAAATCATTTCTGCATTTGGACAACATGTCTTCACATTCACCCCTGACAGATTCTTTCTCCATTTCCAAAGCGATGGTGAGATTGTTAATCTTGGTGTCTTGGATATGCAAATCATCAAACATTTGCAGCATCATTAAACCCTGCTTCTTTACATTCTCGTGTAAAGTAGACATGTACTCAGTGACATTATTACTAGCTGATTCAGCAGCTGGAATGTTCTTCTGGTCTGATACTTGTTCAGTGGATAAAAGCTGCTCATGTACCTCCTTCGTGTAAAGTAGACATGTACTCAGTGACATTATTACTAACTGATTCAGCACCTGGAATGTTCTTCTGGTCTGATACTTGTTCAGTGGATAAAAGCTGCTCATGTACCTCCTTCATTTTAGAAAGTGCCTTATTGAGGGATTCATAATACAGAAAGCTCCTTGAGTGTTCCTTTTCTAGAGCACCTTCTAAACGAGCCTGCTTTGCTTCTAGTTCTTTAATAGGCTTCTCACATGCAAAAGTCATTTCTTGCCTTACATTCACAATGTGATTCTTTAGCTCTACGATATCCATCAAAGTGGGCCTATTTTCTTGCATTAAAACAGACTTTTGCTGAACTGCTATTAAAACCACAGATTCATTAACTTGTCGAACTACTTGCCTGACGTTTTCAAGGTCCTCTGATAGACTCGATACAGTCTTGAAGAGCTGTGCTACAGTCTCTTGCATGTCATTTTGAAAAAATTTAAATTGTTCTCTTACTATGTCCTTTACCAGATTATTAATGCTTTTGGATTTTAGACCTAGAGAAAGAAACAATAAAGAATAATAAATGGTACATGATTTTAATTATTTAAGACTTTAGACATCCCTAAAAAGATAAAAAGCTCGAGACAAAACACTAAAAGCATGCACTAATAAAAATACTTCTCAACGACATTTTCTTATGAAATTTTAAAAATTACTATAATTCATGGAAAGCGATCATCTTCTTAAATAAATCTGAAAGGAGAAATCAATTGCAGTGTAGAACATACTTGAACCATAAAACCAAGGTTCTATGGGCAAAAGACATGAAAGAACTACTACCGGCTTCAGTAATAGACCTCGTATGCAATAATTCTAGGTCTAGTCTTAGGCTTCCATGAAAATAAATGGCTTTTGGCTTTCTGGCATTAGCTCATGACTGTTATTAATTTTCTAGTAAGTAGATTTCAGAGCCTATGTGTTGAGCTTATAATAGCTAATAAATTGACTGTAGAGAACTTTAATGAGACTCCCAAATATGAAGAAATATTCACAAGGTTTAACAATGGTTTATAGTTACAATAAAATAATAATAATGAGAGGTTTAGGGATTGCAAAACTAAGTAAATTTCAAATGAAATTAGGAATTCAAGATACACCTGATTATCATAACATGACATTAATTTTTAACAAAAAAAAAAAGAGGAAACTTGTTACTATTGAAACACATACTACTATCTCTAACATTAGAAAGCATGGACTGATGATAAACTGAGACTGTGGTAGGCTCTAAAAGTAGCACTAAAAGAAAAAATAAAAGGAAAAGAGTACTGAACTATACAGAAGTATTTAGAATAAAAAAAAACATTTAAAAATGTAAAAAAAGAAACCGTTGGATACAAAGACAAAACAGGAAAAACAAAACAAAACATGCTTGAGGTATATTCATTGTATCTAGCTATGAAGAACACATAAATATAAGATATGTCCATTCAAATTCAAAGTATAGCCAATGACTATAATGTAAACATACAGGCATCATAACACAAAGCATTTTAAACAGGAAAATCTGTACAATAGGTTATCGCCAAACGAGTTAAGGCTACCATGTAGCCTATTCAAAAAATATTGCGAGAGGATAAATTGAATATAGGCTCTATATGTCATTATTTTGAAAGCAAGTTTTAAAAATAACATGCATGAGGGATTTACATAAAAAGTATTGTGAAAGAGCAATTATAAAAAATAGAATGATGTATTGCCGGGGCATCTTGACATTAGTTAAACTGTCACAAAGACAAAGCTATAAATGTGATGATTGTTTATATGAATAAACATTTCCCTGGAAATCCCACACTCTAAATATCAATGTTGCTAAATAAAGACATAGAAAAAGATCTTTTACTTTACTTTTTCTAAACCTAGCAGAAACTGAAATAAGTTTAAAAGTCCAAAAAATATAAGTGAAGATCAATTTACATGCAATGGAAAAAATTAATAAACACATGAGAAATATGGAATAGTAATCAATGACACCCAGCACCAAAATAATAAAAAAAGGCTAGATTAATTTTAAAAGATTAAATAGACAAAATTAAAGAAATCACACAATCAGACCTTTCTTTTGTATCTAATAACATGAATAATCACACCAGAAAGGTTTTAAAGTATTTTTATTTTCTATATTTTGCTTAGCATTTAGCCAGTCATCCATTTATTCAACAAATATTCATTAAGTACATTCCATATGCTACACAGAAAATAAAATTTAGAAAATTCAATTTCTGATCTTAAAAGTAGAATATGTTAAGCTTCACTAAGTATAAAGCGCTACTCAATAGCAGTTATTTTTATTGCTCTTTCTACAAGATCATTTAGTCATTTTCTGTTAGTTAAAATAGTTTTTAATTGTCATGACATCCAAAATATTTAAGGTTGGGATTAGACCTTTGAGTTTATAACCTGATAGTTTTGACTGTAAGATGTTTTTCAAGATTGAAAAGGTAAAATAAAACATAAGCTTTACTAAATTAATTAATTATTTGTGGACAATGACGATAAATGTTTAACTTCAGCCAACAAAAACTACATGACCTGAAAATCTGAATAAGTACGACAGTAGGTAAAAGCACTGCAGGTAGATAAAATTCCATACAGAATCTTTATCAAAGTAATTAGGAAAAATAAATAAATAAAAATGAAAAATATGACCTACACTAGCTGTTATGTTTAAAAACTTTTCTGGAAAAATACATTGGAGAAAGGGCAAAATCACAGCAGTGTCTGAAAAGATATCAGATTGTTAGCTTAAAAATTTGTTTCAGAATAAGGAGCTTTTCAGATAACACTTCTACAATTTGTTACTAAAGAAAGAACCATCTGTGTGAGAGTCTGATTTCTCAAAAATATGTAAAAGTGCTTTTGTTAATATCTGAGTGGACACGTCATTTTAATTCTATTTGATTCTGTTTAACACAACCCATATGCTTCTACTTTCTTAAGATGATATTGTATTCGGTGACTTAACAGATATATTTGATCTCTGAAACCCCTTCTGTGGTTGTGAATATATTGCCTTTTTATAACATTCAGACACCTCTTAAGGAGTTGAGACATTTGATTTTCAACAGTTTCAATGGCTACTGGCAGATTAAGCAGTGTTTTTTTTTGACTTGGATGTGGTACAAACAAGGAAGCTGTGGTTTTGCTGTGCTAACACTACACCTTGGGAGTGGGTTTAGTTTTTGTTTCCTGTAAGAATATTCATTAAGTATGAGCCCTCTGGTTCTTGTAATTATGATTGTGCTCTGTACACAATTCATCCCTCCCATTGAGGAGGAAATTTCATTATTGTTGCTGTTGCTGTGAGTGTGTGTTTTTTTCCTGTGTCGGTGCTAGAATTTTTGTTAGTAGGTCATGAAAAACAGTTGACAAGCCTAATTCTTTCAGGTCTTGAAAACCAAATTTTGATAAACAAAATTTCATTCAGATGGTTATAATCAATTACATACTGCTTCTATTCTTTCTCGTGTTATCACTTCAGGGGAAAAGATGTTCCTTTCTCATGCTTGGAATTCATAAGTTTCAGCCATACCAGATATATGGGACACAGTCTTTCTTTCAGTGGCTGAATAGCAGCAACTTATATGTTTAAAAAAAACAAAAACATGGTTGCTCTTGATCTATGAAAGTGTCTGTACTAGTAGATGATATGCCAAATCTCTGCTTGTTTATCTTTTTCATCCTTGAATCACAATAGAGAAAAAAATAACTTGTGAATGATAGAATGGGATTGTACAATGAGACTTTTTTAATGAATAAAGCAAGGTGAAAGTGGCCAGTAATCCTGAAACTTGGAAATATCCAATAAACCCAGTGAACTGGAACACTCCCAGTAACCAAACTGCTTGCCTGGAACATCCAAGTCCTACCTGCAAACCCTTTGCCTGGTTAGCTCCTCCTGATCCTTTGTTCATCAGTTGAGATTGTTTCTCTTTCTGGAAGCCTTCCCTGCTTCCCTCAGACTGGTTTTGTTGCCAGTCGCAAATGGTCCCATTGTACCATGTACATAAATAACACTATCACAGCAATATAAATTTCTGTGGTGGGCAGAATAATGCACACCCCTTTCCTCCAAGATGTCCACTCTAATTGCCAGTACCTGTGAATATGCTACCTTACATGGCAAAGGGGCTTGGCAAATGTGATGAAGGTTACGGACCTTGAGATGAAAAAAATTTCCTGGATTATGCAGGTAGGCCCAATCGAATCACATGAATCCCTAAAAGTGGAAGAGGAAGTCAGAAGAGTGAGTCAGGGAGATGTAACAAGCACTCAACACACTGTTGCTGGCTTTGAAGATGGAGGAAGAAAGTCATGAGCCAAGAAATGTAGGGCCTTCTACACACTGGGAATGGGCCTCGGTTTCTAGGTATCAACAAAACAGGGATCTCAGTCTTACAACTGCAAGGAAATGAATTTTGCCAGTAACTTGAATTAGCAGGAAATGGATTGTCCTGGAGAGCATCCAGAAAGAAACAGCCTGCTTTTAAGCTTGTTTTAAACACAAAATTCAGGCAAAGTCTATTCTCATTTATAAGGAAGTTATTATTTCTCTGAACTGATAGGTTTTAGAGTATATGTTATTGATTATATATCATGACCTAGATAATTTCTGGGATAATAATGCACTTTGGATTTACCCTCAATCGTGCCATCATAATATTAGGACAAACATGCATTGAGCTACCTTGATCCCTTAACCTCATCTTTACTCTTGAACTAGATACCACAATGGAAATAAAGAATGGCCCCTTTTAACTATAAATAAATACAAGTCAGGCTGTAACTAGGTATATAATGTAAATAAACCAGATGGAAGATTCAAAGATTTGCTATACAGTAAATATATAGTAAAAAATGTTTAGATATTTCAAATTTTTCAGAAGTTGAGTTATTTTAAAATATGCCATTCAAAAAATACTTGTGTGAGATATCCATAGCACCCGTTCTAAAGTAAAGATTCCAAGGTGATGTGAGAAAAGGTAAATAAACTGAAGGCCAGAAAACCAAAATAACTTGTTTGAGGTTACAGAGTTCAAATGGCTCATCTTCTGCTTCCAAATCCAATGCCACAGCATTAAACATGTGCAGCTGTATATACAGATATAGCTATAACTATCTTCTGAGAGTATAGTTCTGGAAGATACTTGTAGTCAAGATGGCAGAATAGACGGTGCCCAGCATCGCTCTCTCCCACAAATCAACCAAATTACAACTATTAAAAAGCAACGACAGGCAAGCTGGGGCCGCTAGAGCTCAGGAGAAGAGGAGAGACCTATAGAGTGCATGAAGGCAGGAGAAGCCACGATGAGAGAAAGAAAAAAACACTCAGACTGTTCGAGCCCTGGTCATTTCCAGGCTGGAGCTGCTGAGTGCATGGAGCAGGAGCCAGCAAAAGCCACAGCTGTGTCCTTTGTACGAAGCTGCTTGGAGGTGGAAAGGGAGAAAAGGGACTTGTTGGCCCCCAGGCCAGCAAGACAACTAATAGGGCTCCTGTGGACCCATGCAGGAGCAAGGAACCACAACAACTGAAAAAAGGAGCCACTCAGAGGCCAGTGAGTCATCACAAGGGACTGGCGCATGGCCCGTCCCATGGGAAGTGTTTGCAGCATGGGTTGTGGGGAAGACAGACCCACTGGGGGAACACTGGGGAACAGCAAGGATAGCTGATCTGCCCCCCAATCAGCATAGGAACACTCAATGGAGATTGGCCAGGAATATAGAATTGCATGGGGTGCAGTTTGATGAAAACACTCAGGCCTAGAGCAGAGTTTCTGCACAACCCAGGTGCACCAGATCTGATGAGAAACAGCAGTATCTATAAAGTCAACCATTAAAATCTGAGCTGCACAAAAAACCTTCCCAGGAAATCAGCAGCAAAACAACAATTTAGCTCAACCACAGGGCTCAAGTGCTGGTCCCACAGGAAGTTCCCCCATTTTAGAAGTAAGTAAAGGACAACAAATTAGTTCCAGGGTAGAGTGTAAGTGGTGGGAACAGCAAATAATCCAACACAGAACTGAAAGAAGAAACAAAATACACACAACCAGAGACAAAGTTTGATATTAACTAGTAAAGGTCTAACACCACCAAAGAACACCTATAAAACCTAGAAGGACAGGAAGTCACCTAGGCTACCAAGTCAAGGAGTGGGGAGGCCTGGGGGCCTTGGCCACACCCCCCAACACCCACAACCAGCCCAGCAAGGACAACCAAACTGAGATGGTGGGGAGCAAGGGCTTCAGCCACACCCCCCCTGACATCTGCACCCAGACCATCAATGACCAAGACACTGCCCCAAGCCCCCTGGTCTCCCCTGCAGGAATGAAGGAGGTGCCACAGGCCTCAACCCCTCCCCACCTCCTTCCTCCTCCCACCTTATTTCCTTCCCCCTTCCCCTCTCCCTCTCCCCCTAACTGCTCCTCAACAGCATCATCAAATGTAAAAAATATATATATTAATAAATAAATAAACAAACATACACACACACACAAAATAAAGTCAAGCCTAAAAGAAATGACAAAACATTTATGATTAGAAAGATAATATGTAACATGCCAACTTTGCTTTTTTGTCATTTTAATACTGTATCTTATTTAAATAAATATATCTAAAATTGCATTATTTCAGTATTAAAAATTTATTTAGATATTTTAAGTTTTTTTTGAACCAAGTCTTTGAATTCCGAGTCTTTTATTTATTTATTTATTTTTTGAAGCAAGTGTTTGAATTCCAGTGTGTGGTTTACACAGCACAGCTCACTTTGCCCTTTTTGTTTGTTTGTTTGTTTTTTTCTTTTAAGTTATAATCATTTATTATTATTATTTTACCTAACACGTGTGAAGTAAAGCATTGTAGTTATTTTATATATCCATTCCCTGTTCTCAAGAAGTCTGCAATTATATCAGATGGGATATTTTGACTGCAGTAACAAAATCACAGTTCAAAATGTCTTCCCCAAAAGAATGTTCATTATCTCATGTAACAAGAGGTTGAGACGACCCAGGCATGGTAGCCAGGGCTCTGGCTCAGTTTCCCTGTGGTCCTCTTCACTTAGTCTTCTTCTGTGTGTTGGCTTCATCCCCAGCTTAGCAGCAAAGGTGTTTGCAGCAGGCCCAGGAATCTAATGCAGACATAACCATATCCAGAGGAAGGAGGCCAGATATTCTTGGATTTCTTTCTTAGCCACAAGCAAACCTTTTCTGAAGCTACCCCTACCTCCATTGCTCATTGGCCAGTCATAAATCTATTTCTGAACCAACTCCTGGCAAGGAGAATAGAATTGTCAGGATGCCTGACACTCCTCTGGAGTGGAGCCGATGCTGGGGTCCCCTCATCAGAACAAGCTATTTGAGGAGTTGAAGAAAATGCTAATGGAATTAAATGAAAGGCAGTATATGATTAATAGTGATTTCTAAACCTGGCTGATAAGCAGAATTTTCAGTAAACATTTAAAAAGTACAGCCCCCTCCAAGAAATTTTGATTCAGTGTCTGGGGTGAGGCCAGAAAGAAATTTTTCTGAAATATTTCTTAAGAAATATTTTTTAAGAAATAGATATGCCTACTCTGGATCAACATGAGGTTCTTGTTGGTTCTTAGTTACAATTCTTCTCCACAGGCAGTGATCAACACCCCTTGGTGATCTCTTTCAAATAGATATAGATCACAGCCTTCTTAGCTCCTTTAAAATGATCAAGTTGTTTTTTCCACATAAGATTCTTCTATGATTGCACTGTTTGTAGGACAAAAGTTTTGTAAATCTTTTATTTTGGAAACCTGTGATTTCCTTACAACTCGGTATCACTGCATTTTTACTCTCCTTTTTTTTTTTTGGCAGCTGGCTGGACATTGGTGTTATCATCTCGATACTCTAACCAAGTGGGCTAACCGGCCAGCCCCCTACTCGCCTTCTGTGTTTGCACACAAAGTTTCAATAATTATAGATAGTTCTTTCAGTCTGGGAACCTGCAGCTTATCCACAGTTTCTCCAACATCCAGAACCAATAGAAAAGGATTGAGAGGTATGTTAATGCGTCAAACATTTGACAGCTAAGAGATTTCTAGTTTGGAAGTTGTAATACACAGTGTTGGCAATAATTGGGTTAGCGATGATTGCGATTACAGTCTACGACCTGGATCACCACAGTCTTGCTGCTCCCGCTGCAGTTGCTTCTGCTGCTGTTGCTCAGCTGACCCTCTGCCAGCAGCTTCATGACTTTCAGCCTGGCTGCTGTGTATCAGTGGCTGCTGTTCCTGGGCTAGATGGAAGCAAAAGGAGAAGAGAGAGTTAAGCACTGGGCCTGCCTCATTTTTTCCAGTCCTGAGCAGTAACGTGGCTGACATTCATTTTCCTGTGTACTGAAGCATGAGGGTTGGGGATGATTGCAGAGTAGGCTGCTCTGCCCCCAACCGCAGGGCAATGTGACATCACATTGAAGTTGAAGCGCAGGACTTTAATTCTGCTTGGAAAAAAATAAAATTATTCAGGTCTCCTTCAGCAGAAAATGGATGGTAGTTTGGGGGAGCTATGTAAACTACTGGATGTAAATTGCCTGCATAATTGAGGGGATTTTAAAATATGCTGTGTTAAAAGCTATTGCAGCTTTATAAATGGACTGCCACAAAGGCTGGTTGTTTAAGAAGGCATTTTCCAACTGGTGTCTACTTCGAAATAAGGGAGAGCTACAGGTTCCTTACTGAAAAAACATGTATTTAATTAATAGGGGCACTTAAGTGGGTTGTTCCCAGATTTTTAAGAAATACATAGTCTTAAAATGAACTAAAAGTAGGGCCGGCCCGGTGGCGCACTGGATAGTGCGCCGCTTGGGAAGCGCGGCAGTGCTCCCGTCCGAGGGTTCGGATCCCATATACAGACTGGTTCCCGCTCACTGCCTGAGCGAGGCGCGGGAGCAACACCGAGGCTTGCGATCCCGTTGCCGGTCCCCGGTCCGGTACGGGGGCAACACTGAGGGTTGCAATCCGTTGCCGGACACGGAAAAAAGACAAAAAGACATTTTTAAAAGAACTAAAAGTAAAAATAAATTATTTACAGCCACATCTCAAGGGGATCAACCTGTAAAACCAGTGAAATTTCAGAAAAATAGAAATTCTTATATAATAAATCTACTCTGTTAAAGAATTGCTTCCCATTTCCTATGAACCAGGTAATATTTTAAATGGCAATATAGTTTTTCATTGAGGAAAACAACTTAGATGAAAGATTTATTAAAATATTGAGTATATCCAATAATGCATGCTGTAACTTACAGACTTCTAATGAACAAATTTATCCATTGAAGTCTGCAATCAGACATGAGAAGACATGTGTTTGGTGTCTGGCTGCTTCTTCCCATGCGAAATTACAAACCAATGAAATCACAGATTTCTAATGAACAAATTTATCCATTGAAGTCTGCAATCAGACAAGAGAAGACATGTGTTTGGTGTCTGGCTGCTTCTTCCCATGCGAAATTACAAACCAATGAAATTCTGCACCTCTGACACATGTTAGTTATGCTCCTGAGACATATATGACTGTGACAACGCTGAAGCTTCCCTGCTCCAGAGAAAGTGTAATACATTCGGCTTTAATTTTGGTTAGTCTCTATTGTTAGAATGAATTTTGCATTGTTTTTCTTCAGTGCATCGAGCTAAATTAATGAATTTCCATTCATGTCCAAGGTATTTGTTTTGATGATGCTGTTTCTTTTCTTTTTTTCCTTCACTATTTTATATAAAGTTCTGTATTAATTGTTGATTTGTTCGGTGGACAAAAACAATCTGCAGCTTTGAGAAAAGGGGGCTGTGGTAAATGAGGAAAAGTGCTAACCTTCTGCAAAGTACTAGCAGTAAAGTTCTTATAGCCTAAGTTCAAATTAATTCATACAAAGACATCTATTAAATAATTGCATAAATTTCCTATTATGGTTCCTCCATAGCTGGTGTAATAAAGAGTCTTTCTGGCAGCTTAAATGTAAATCTATGCAAGAGTGTAACCAGAGAGTAAAGCAATGGTTCTCAAACTGGGGTCCCTGGATCAGTAGCATCAGCACCACCTGGAAACTTTTGGAATTGCAACCTTTAGGGTCACACTCCAGACCTAGTAATTTAAGAAACTCTGGAGTAGGGCAGAATCTGTGTTTTAAGAAGCCCTCCAGGTGATTCTAATGCACACTGAAGTTTGAAAACCACTGGACTAGTGTCAAGAGAAACCTCCTTAGCAACTCTCTACCTCACTGCCTTCCCTGTTTTTCTTAGCAGTGGAGGAGTCTTCAGGATACAAACTTGTAAATATTTACAGCAGTAGGAATGGGTTTAACAGATGAACCAAGGGTCTTTCCATTTACTTGCTGCTTACCTTTTTGAGCTAGAACATAGGAACAAAAATAACTGGTACATTTAAAGGGAATACCATAACTGGGTAGGAAGTACTTTGTTAGGAAGGAAAGCATGATTATGGAGAAAACAGAGACTACATTATTTTGTGGTGTACAAAGAAGGTTACTACTCAAATTTTCTTTTCTATCATTACCTTTTAACACATTATTTTTACATTCCTTTAGAATACTGTTTTTCATCATGGATGGAAATCAGAAGCTCTTGTATACTTTGAAACATTAAGTGTCCATGTTTTTCCATTTCCCCAACTGAGATTCTGATTCAATAGATCTATTCTGGGGAACTGGGCATGTGTTGTGTGTATTTTTAAAAAACTCTACGGGTGATTTTGATGCATGGCCCTGTTTAAGAACCACGAATTTAGAACAAATTGCAAAGTTTTCTAATTCTAATTGGCAAATCCACTGTGATGCGGTAGAAAATACAGCTATTTTAATATTAAAATTGCAATCCAAAAATCAGTTTTCATAGATTTTTAAACAGCATGTCTGTTGATAACAAGGGCATATGTTAAAGACATGATATATTAAAAGTAGATAAAAACCTTGAGTCTCCTATTGTTCCATAAAGAAGTGGGCCACTGTAAAGAGTGAGTGAAGTGAGGTGGGAGTGGAAGATGCTTTTCACAGCTTCCTAGTTCCCTAATGTAGACATTGCCATTCTCTTGATTTCCACAATACAAGATCCCTGAAGAGGTACTGCTAAGCATGGACACGTATGAAGAGCATTTGTGCTGCCTCGCAGCAATCAAATCTAGAGCCCACTGACAATTTTAGAATATCTCAGAAATAAAATCTCCTTTCCACTGAAAAGCCAGCTATTGCTCTTTACTGCCATCTAGCAACATTCCACGTTCCCCAACTCCAAGACTGTACTCAGCCAGTATGTACCAATGTGACCTACCAAAATTGTTAAAATATTAAAATATGGCCATGTCTGTTGGCAAATATATAATGATAAAGTGCAATACCTGATAAAAATTGGTTATAAAAATTATAATCTTAAGTTATTCCAAGTTAATTGTGGATACATATTAAAGGATGTGTTTTGTAAGATACGTGTGTTTTGTAGCAACATCTGAGAACTATTTTTCAGAACTAGAATTTTCTTGGGACCATGCCATGCACTGCATACATTTTGTGAAATATTCAGTGTTTTAGTAAAATGGTCAGTTTATCATTATCTATAAATTTATGTAGTTCCTAGAACTTCCAAGTCATTTGGTGCTTACTTTAGTTCACTTGTTCGTATGTGCTTATTGTTCTAAGTGCACAGTTATTTGATAACTATTTATTTAATAAATTCAGGAATTTATAATAAATTATTAAAAACACTGAAAAAGACACAAAAGTTTAACTTAGTAAATTTTTAAAGCATTTCTTTCAGATAGAATGAGTGTGAATTTTTTGAATCTGAGGAAAAGAATTGAAATTTTGTTAGCAATGAACCTACTCCTGGATTATCTAATATACTGTGCTAAAATCAGTTACTCTGAAACATTTTTTAATTTATACAATATCAAAATAAAAATATCAAATCAATATAAAAAAAATTCAATGTAAAACAAGTGTGTTTCCAAAATGAAAATTAATTTGATTTTCAATAAAATAATGAATTATTTTTACTTGCTATGTATATGTTGGATTTAAATAATGCTACAAATTTGTAGCTTTAGAATTACAATTACTAGACTTATTTTTCATCATAATGGCACTTACATTATCTTTATCATTATTCACAAAGAGGAAAATATCAAAGAATATTATGAAATTAATCTCATGAAAAAAGCATTTTTAATAAAAATTTTCAATGAAAACCATGCTTTTTTAAATAATAAAAAATTTCAAAAATACTTTATTAAATAGTGTTAATAACAAGTGTCAATAAAATAAATTAAACTAATAGAAAATAAAATCACAATCTTTGACATTATTTACCATATATTTGAAAGAAATGAGCACTTCAGAAAAGAAAAATGTTATGAAACTTATCTAATATAATAATTTTCATATGGCAATATTATTGCAAATCAGTTCCATGTTGTTACTTTTTGGAAGACATGTATCCAATAAAATGAGAGAACAGCTTCTTAGAAAATTTATTTATTTATTTATTTTTATTTTTATTTTTTTCCTTTTTGTCTTTTTTCGTGACTGGCAACGGATCACAACCCTCAGTGTCGCACCCGCACCGGACTGGGACCGGCAACGGGATCGCAACCCTCGGTGCTGTGCCCGTACCTCGCTCAGCCAGTGAGCGGCCGGTCTGTATGTGGGATCCGAACCCTCGGTGGGAGCGCTGTTGCGCTCCCAAGCGGCGCACTGTAGCATGCACCACCGGGCCAGCCCAGAAAATTTAAAATTCAACTCAATAAAATGTCAAAGCATTATTAATGAAACTTGAACTCTTTCACCCACAGGTGTTTTCATAATTTACCTAAGATGTGAAAACCAAGAAGTTGAAGGCAATTAGTGGTTTTCCTTGATCTCAGGACATTAGAAGAAAAAACATCTTTAATACTACATTTAATAATATAGTAATATGTATGAACACTAGAGAAAAAAATGTTTCCATAAAAATTGTGTATGTGAAAATGTATTGAATTTTTTAAACAGGTGGAGCAAGAAGGATAATAGTGACAAAGTAAACCAAGAGTTCCAGAAAAATTTTAGATACACTTCTGGGTTTAAAAAATTTCAGCATAATTTATCTTATTCTAATGTCTCCGACTGAAATAATACTAAACGTATCATCAACTAAGAGACTTAAAATCTTCTCTAGATGAATTTCATATTTACTGCCATACTCGCATATCAAATAAATAACAGACAGAGTAAATATAGAAGACAGAAGGAGAGCC